ACTCTTAATTAGAAAATAAGAACAAAAAGAGAAAGAATAAATACATTAAGAAATACTATTAATCCAATTCTATCAGCATGAGCAATGAACAAATAAATCAAATTAACATGTATTTACTCAATACAGTAGGAAAAAGTATAATAGATATAGAAGATATAATTATCATAGATGATATTCTAAAAATAGAAACAATTAATGAAAATACCCTAAGAAGAATTAAAGAAATGGGAAATCATTTTCTCAAGAATTTAATTTTATTAAAGAAAGAATAAATAATGTCAAAAACTCTAGAAATTTGAAAGAAATAAAAAAAGAAATAAGGTTTATTAAAGACTCAAAAACTCTTATATTCGAGTAAAAGAGATAAAAATCAAAATAGAAGAAATTTTCAAGATATTAAAAGCAATTGCTAAAAAAACTTGCAATAAAAACTTAAAAATGTATAATAGAATAATTCTACAACTAGAAAGTGATATAGATAAAAATTTTCATAAAATCCAAACACAACTCAAGGATCTACAAGATACTATAATAACAGTCTATAATAAGCGAAATATTGTAGATAAAAATTAAGGATTTAAAATAATTCGAAAAATTTTAACGGAAAAGCCTAAATCAAAAGAGCTAACACTTTTCATGTTAAAAACCCAAGAAGAAAAGTTGAAAGAACTTGAACAAAAATTCTTAGAAAAAGAAAATGTAGAAGAACTAGATAATCTATGCAGACAGATTACTATAACTACTAAACAATTAGAAAATATGAAAATGAATAGCCAAAAGGAGGAAATAGAATAGGAAAGTGAAGAAGAAAAGGATGAGACACGTCCTAATATAACTAGGGATGTCAATAGGGCATCGCAAGGCTAGGGAGTCCTTCCTCGTCCTTGTCCTTGTCTCTGCCATTTGTGGGGATTTTTGACGAGAGGCAGATTTTGCCCCCTATTCCCCCCATCCTTGCAATCCAACAGTAGCTCCAAACTAGCAATATTTCCAGACCAACAATATGTTGTTCCACTCCTACAACAACTTCAGCTGCAACAACAGCAGCTCCCGCAGTAGCTCCAATAGCACCAACTCTAGCAATAGCTCCAACAACACCAACTCTAGCAATAGCTCCGACAGCAGCTCCAGTACGTTGGGTGAAACTAAGGGCAAAAGGGTGAGAAGGCTAGAAGGACAACAATGAAGGGATTTTGGGTCTGAAGAGTGCTGACAGCAGAAGGGGATGAAAAGGTGAGAGTGATGAGAAATGAGTAACGTTAGGGTTAAGTGGTTAATAATGGGTTGGGTTGGGTTAGGTAAAATTAAATTAAGTTTAATTTTTATTGGGTTGGGTTTGGGTTTGGGTTTGAAGGTTAAATTAAATTTAAAATAAAATTAATTTATATATATAT